ATTTAGGTCTTATGTCTTCTTCAATTTCTTTCAGCAGTATTTTGTAGTTTTTATTGTACAAGTCTTAGACTTCCTTGGTTAAACTTATTCTTTTTGATGCTATTACACATGAAATTGCTTTAATTTACGTTTCAGATTTTTCATTAGCACATAGGGAAATAAAACTGATTTTTGCATGTTGATCTTACATCCTGAATATTGTTGAAACTCATTTATGATGACTCTAATAATTAGAGTCTTTTGTGTGGATTACTTACTTAGGATTTTCTATATATAAAGTCATATCATCTGCAAATACGTTAAATTCTTCCTTTCTAATTTGGATGTTTTTTATTTATTTTCTCCCAAACTGCTCTTCCTACAACTTTCAGTACAGTGGCAAAGCAGGCATCCTTGTCTCGTTCCTACTCTTAGGGGGAAAGGTTTCAGTCTTTCTCTGTTGAGTATGATGTTAGCTGTGGCTTTTCCATAGTTGTACTTTATTATGGTAAGATTATGGCCTTCTAGGGATACCTGGGTGGCTCAGTGCTTGAGCGTCTGCCTTTGGCTGAGGGCGTAATCCTGGAGTCTGAGGATCGAGTCCTGCATCAGGCTCCCCTTGAGGAGCCTGTTTCTGCCTCTGTATGTATCTCTGCCTTTCTGTGTATCTCTCATGAATAAATAAATAAAATCTACAAAAAAGAATATGCCCTTCTATTCTAGTTCAGTGTTTTTAATCATGAAAGGATATTGGATTTTGTGAAATGCTTCTTCGGCAGATGACTATATGTATGCACATCTGTGTGTGTTTCGCCTTCATTATACTAATGCAGCATGGTGTATTTTCCACAGGTTGCACAAAGTTGATTTCTGGGATAAATCTCACTTGGTCATGGTGTATTGTCCTTTTTAAAATACTGCTAGATTTATGTTAAGTTGGCTAGGAGTTTGGCCACGATAGGCGGCAGAGGATTCAAATTCTGCTAGTATAACCTTGTTTGTGTCTCTATTCTTGATTTTGGCATCCCTAAGTACTCCTCCTTAAGGAGAGTCTCTCTTGTAGCTCTGTCTGCTGTAATACACTGTTATTATACCAAAACCCTGCTGATATGGTGGCAAACCATGGGCCATGGGTGGGTGGGTAGGGGACTCTATGATCTTCCAATTCTCAGTTTTAAGTCTCAGTTTTAGTGGGCCTGCACCTAGGGCCAGGAGTGACCCAAGTGTTTCTCCAGTGGTATAACTTTTTGCCTCCACACCCTATGCTCCATCCCTTGGTTACAACATTCCCAATCTATTTTCTTGAAGCTCTGACCCCTGTTGACTGTTTTCTCCTCCTTAGTGAGACAGGTTAGAGGGAACTAAAATGGGAGGAATGTTCGTACCTCAGTTAGCATAAGACTCTGGTAAACTCTTTTCCCCGGGAGAGTAGGACTTTTTTTCCAAGGTATATTTCATAATGGTGACTCTTCCCCTGCCAGAGCCCCAAAGGGTTATTTCTTGGGTCACCACCATGTGACCAAATTCAAACGTGTTTCTGGAACTAATATAGCATTGGAAATGTGGGGGAACTCTCACTCTCAAGCAAACTTACACTTAACCTCCAACAATTCACCAAAACCATCATTTAAATGTACCTATATGTTTATGGCTGTAGCAGGTTCTGCTCCAGGGAAGCAGACCTTGGCTGTGTCTCTGGATATATCTGTCTCTAGAGATCAGTGTTGTAATTTGCCCAGTAACCTCAGTTCTTAGGAAGAGAAGCCATTCATTTTTAGCTTGTGCAGCTTTTTGTTAGAAGTGATGATTTTAAGTTGTCTGCATGTCATCACTGAAACCTGAAGTCCGGAAGTCCAAACAAGTTTTGGAATGCTAGATTACTGAAGATTATTGAATGTAAACAAAATCACAAAAATCCTGTAGCTGCTTATGTTTAAATGCTGAAGTGATACAATCCTTTCACGATAATTACTTCAGTGTCAGTAGCAAGGATATCAGATGTTGTCTGTGCAGCATTATGCAGAAATGCAGAGTATGGGCAGAATCACCAACATCTTCCATAGAATCCACTATACTTTGTTTCAACTTTGAATAATTTGTCTGCACTTTTGTACACCCACAAAAATGTGTTTTGTTACCTCTACCAAAGCAGCATAATTTTCCTTATAACTTAATAAGTGAGTTTTTGTAAAAATTTTATATTTCTGAAGTTCCATCTGGAAAGGATTTTATTTGTAATACCTTCTAAGCAAGCTTTTTAGTGATAAAAACATTGCACAAGGAAAAGGGACTTCTTTTCCTGCATTGTGATGCATCTTGAGCTATGTTGTAACAAGATGAAACATTTTAATAAGATCTTTAATAAGCTCTGGAGTAGTAAATAGAGCAATTACATTTTCATCATTGCAGTATTTTATGGTGACACTTGAAAATTCTAAAATTTGCAATTTTAGAATCAAAAAAATCATGTGCAGTCATTGGTGCTAAAAAGATTGATGACGTGTGGATAATCATCACAATTTCTATGATTATTTTCATCTGAATTTCTTTTAATCAGAAAATTTGTTACTTTATCTCTTTATAGTTGAGGTAATCATAAATCTCTTAAGCTTAACTTTTAATATATGACTTTCCACTAATTTTGATACTGAATGAACAGTTTCATACTGTGAAAGTGTCATTTTTTTAGGGTAAGAGCATGAGCAGCGGGCGGTGGGGGGAACAGAGGGAGAGAGAATCTTAAGCAGGCTTAGTGTGGAGCCTGATATGGGGCCCAGTCTCATGATCCCGAGATCATGACCTGAGCCAAAATCAAGAGTTGGATGCTTAACCGACTGAGCCACCCAAGTGCCCCTACTCTTTCAAAAAGACGTTTTCCTTATTTAGTAGACACCTAATGTTCTGAGAATTAATGAAATTTACACTTGCATTTGGGATTCAAATACACAAAACAGTAGCAATCACATAAAAATTGGAAAATATTGAATATGATACTCTCACGGACTCATTAGCGCATTTGTCATTTGTGTGGCTGAGGCGGTAACAGTAAATAAGGGTTGAACTGTTGAAACAGTTGCAAATTAACAATAAATCGAACTTGTTATGTAATGTAGAAAAGGAAAACTTCAGGCATGTCTGCAAGGAAAAGTAGTATTTGCAAGAACAGACTCCCTGAAAAACTGGAGTTGATCTCATACAAGGGGTTTGGAAAGCTTGGTCTAGGGATTGGTGGATTTTATAAAGTAGGTGTTTATAGATTGACAGGCTTTCAACAGTGTTAGTGTGGTCCCTGGAGTGTCAGTGTGGATGCTGTCACTGACTGGCATACTTTCTGTGGCCACTAGAGTGAGTCATTTACTAATTGACTGTCTAGAGGCATGAGAAGAAGGTCTACTAATTGGTTGACTTTCAAAAGGTGGAGTCTGTCATTAATTTGCTCACTTTCAGAAGCATGGCTGCTGTTGCTGATTTTCAGAGCCTATGTACTGACCCAAAGTTATCTCTAATTAACAGTGACTAGTGGCTTGCAATCTGAGACTTTAGCAAAAAGAAGTCTTAGGCTTCTTTTAATATGGAAAATAAGACTTGCCCTTCTCAGTTCTCCCTTGTAGTCTTCCCCCAGCCAAGAACACAGGAGACTTAAAGTTTTGTTCAGGTCTTTATTTGTGGAGATATGAGTTTCAGCTAGTGTTGCCATTTAAGGAACTTAAGTGCCAATTACTGAAGCAGAAAAAGAACTCTAACTGCTGAATTTTCCTTATTGGGGAAAAAAAGCTCTTACAACTGATTACGTTAAGAGCAATCTCACAAAGTCAATCCAGGATGCAGGACAAAATCATTACATATGAGACATATCATTGATATATATATATATTATACTTGGCAACTCTACCTGCGTCAGCTTAGCCTCTTCACACTCACCAACCTCTTTTATTTTCTTGTGAACACCACGTCTTATTTACTCAATACATTATCTGTCTCCTATTCCCTATCCACCTGTCCTGCATTAGTTTGGTCTCTCATTCATAGATCACTTGAGTTAGAATAGCTTAGATTTCTAGGCATCTATCCATATAGCTTTCTTCAACCCCCTAAATCCATCTTCTACACGTTGTTGCCAGAACAATTTCCATCAACTAGGATAAAATTCTAACTTCTTCACATGGCAAATAGGCCTTTAGTTATCTGGCATCTGCGTTTGACTCAAACTCTAACATGTCACTCTCCTGCTCATTAGTTCCCTACTTGCATTTTCGTGAAGTGACATGTCAGGACTGTTATCTACCTTTTATGTACCTTTTTCTTTGCAGTCTCCTCTTATTTAGAAGAGTCATTTCACCCACTGGAGAAGTCCTATTCTTCCAAAACCTGGCTTAGCCACACTGCCTCTGGAAAGCTTTGTCTCCAGGTTTCCTTGGTTAGGTTTGAACTCCTCTTTCTTCATCCTGTGAAAATCTCTTAACATTCTTACACCACAACATACTGTCATAACTTACCTATTTGCTTGTTAAAACCACATTTACATACTGGGATATAATAATTGGCTTCCTTATCTGCTAGTTCCTCAACTCCATCTCCTTTCCCCAAATTCAAGGCATCTCTAAGAGCTGTATCTTTCTTCTTAAGACTCCCAGTATGCAGTATAGTACCTACCCCAGTGCTAGATTTAAAGACAATTAACACATGAGAACCCTAAGTGAGGAAAACATACTTGTTGGGACATAAAATATTTGATGTACCTTTCAATATTTTGGCATAGGTAGTAGATTCATTACACTTCTTTTGGTAGCTCCTTTTATTTTGAGCTTATGTATGTTTAATAGCTTAAACTTGAAATAATTGCTTATTTTCCCATTTAATGTGCCTAGGATGACAGCTCACAGTATATAGTAGGTATACTTTCTTCATAAATGACCTCACTGCCAAATAAATAAACTAAACCAAGAAATAAATTTCAAGCACACCATTAGCAATTGGCTAGAAAACTCCCAATTCCCAGCAATTACTAGAAAAGCACAGGATGAAGAGAACAGACTTTTATTTCTATTTTTAAATGAAACCATGCACAGAGTTTGACATCAGGTCAGGAAAAGGACAAACCCCAGAAAGAGAGAGGTAGTTCGTAGCTCTAATTTTTAAAAAAATCTTTTATTTGGTCCTTTTCTCTAAAAGTGTATAATTTGATCACGTCTTTTATATGCTACTACATGTTAGTTGTAAAAAAAAAGTATTACCAATTTATGTTTCTTTTTAATGAGAAATCCAGTGTACACCTCCCTTCACCCAGATATTTATGATAATCACATATGGTATCTCGTGTACACTGCTGTAGAAAGAGAACAATTATTTTACAAATGCCCAGAGTCATTGTCTCCAATTGTGAAATTTTCATTTTGGGTTATTTTCAAAAGTACCTAACAGGCATGTACACTTTTCTACTTTCCTCATTATCTATTATATAGTCAAGGTTTATCCTTGAAAGCTGATATCTGATGAGCCCTACATTACAGAAAGGTTTTTCCTATCCATTACATTTGTTGTATCACTCGTGTATTCTGATAAGCTTTGGTTTAAGGCTTTCACACATGCAAATCTACTTTCTAGGGGTTCTCTTCAATATGAATTTTGTAATGATTAGTAAGAGATGACCTGTGGTTGAAAAGTTTCCCACATGTAGTACATTCATAGGGTTTCTCTCCAGTATGAATTCTCTGATGGGCAATACGTGATGAGCTCTGTCTAAAAGTTTTCCCACATGTGTTACATTTGAAGGGCTTCTCTCCTGTGTGAATCCTCCGATGCTGAATGAGAGCTGAGCTTTGGCCAAAAGATATTCCACATTCCTCACACCGATATGGTTTCTCTCCCGTGTGAATTCTCTGATGATTACTGAGGGATGAGTTACACCGAAAGGTTTTCCCACACTCGTTGCATTTATAGGGTCTTTCTCCGGTATGCATCCTCTGATGCTGAATGAGAGCTGAACTCTGTCGGAAGGCTTTCCCACACACTTTACATTTACACGGCTTCTCCCCCGTGTGAATTCTTTCATGAATGATGAGCGTCGAGTGGGAACTTAAGGCTTTACCACATTCATTACAGTTATAAAACTTCTCACCAGTATGAATTATTCGGTGTCTGTTGAGTCGTGAAATGGAAGTAAAACCTTTTCCACATTCATTACATCGATAGGGCTTCTCTCCAGTGTGAATCCTCTCATGCTGGATGAGAGAGGCACTCTGACTAAAGGCCCTCCCACACTCACTACACTTAAAAGGCTTCTCTCCTGTGTGAATCCTCTGATGGTAACGGAGGGATGAGCTAGACTTAAAGGTGTTGCCACATTCATTACATAAATAGGACTTCTTCCTGAGATGAGTTCTCTGACACCCAGAAAGGGATGTGCTGGATGCCTTCCTACCTGGATTGTATTTATGGGGGTTTTCTCCAGCATGGATTTTTTGATGTATAAAAAGGCCAGACCTTCTGCTGAAGGATTTACCACATTCCTTACATCTATAGGATTTCTCCACAGTGTGGGTTCTTAGGTGTTTGTAAAGGGATGTACTAAGAGTGAAGGCTTTCCCACATTCTTTACAGACGTAGGGCTTTTCTCCAGTGTGAGTTATTTGATGCTGAATAAGAGCTGAACTTTGGTTAAAGGCTTTTGAACATTCTTTACATTTAAATAATTTCTCTCCACTGTGGTTTTTCTCATGTTTGCGAAGGGATGAAGTGTTAATGAAGGTTTTCTCACATATGCTACATTTATAGCGTTTCTCTGCTGTGTTGATTTTTGGTTGGTTAAGCAAATATGGATTCTGTTTGAAGCTGTTTCCTTGTATTTCACATTTTGGTGGTGTTTTTTCTCTGGGAGCCATCTGTTGCCTAATAAGGACTGACTTTGGGCTGAAGTTTTGGCCAAATTCTGTATTTTTATGGCTTCTTTCTACAGTGAGGATTTTTTTGTGGGTGACTGAAACTGCCTGAATACTTTCTTTTTTATCCTGCTTTTTCTCTAACCTGTCTTCATAAATGCAGGATTTTTCTGATTTAAAGTCCCAGGGTCCATGCCTTTTGGATCTTCTCATTATCAGCTCCTGAAAAGAAGAATCTTGCGTTTGAGTTGACTTCGTGGTTTTGTGACTGCTTTTCCATCCTGGAGGGAAAAAAAAACCCAGAGATGTTTCACGTCATATGGTGTTTGGCTACTGAGACTAAATGTAGAGAATAAATATTGATGGTATTTAAAAAGGTGTTGGCATCTGGCCAAATATAAGAAGAAATCATAGAAGATTTAAGCAATATAGAAAAGAATCAATGTGAACTGAAGTACTAGAGTGGAGAAAAGAATAAAACAAACCTATTTAAAGAAGATGAGTTTAAGAGTAACCAGGGGAGCATGAATTGGGAAAGGAAATTTGGGATCAGAGTCAAGGCCATCATGGACTCTAAAATTATTGTCATGGTATTTCATTATGTGTAATCTTCCTAATCTGTAAAGTCTTCCCCACTTTCTCTTATGTCAAATTCCTTTGTATCCTTCAGATTTAGTTCAAAAGTTAACAGAGTCCTTCCTTGACTGAGTTTCTTTTTTTTTATAAATTTATTTTTATTGGTGTTCAATTTGCCAACATATAGAATAACACCCAGTGCTCATCCCGTCAAGTGCCCACCTCAGTGCCCGTCACCCAGTCACCCCCATCCCCCCCCACTTCCCCTTCCACCACCCCTAGTTCGTTTCCCAGAGTTAGGAGCTTGACTGAGTTTCTACAGTCTACTCCCCGTATTATAGCAATTACCACAGTATTTAAAATATATGATATATACCTTTGTATTATACATAATCACCTACCTATATCTAAATAGATTAGATTTTCCTTTTCTACCTAAGTATTCTGCAAGCAGATTGGCATGCCCTATTTACAGATCATCCTGTTGGCACCTGAATTATACATGAAATATTTTGTTAATTTTAATTACTTACCTATACTTAATTTGAACAAAAATATTCTTAATTACTTATTACACACACACACACACACACACACACACACACACACACACACACAATTCAAACACTTGAAGTTGCCTTCCGGGACAGGACATTACTTGGGTGATGGGAGATCATCATATCATCATATGGGTGATAACATTCAGGTGTAACATAAATGTGTTACAGAGTTAATCTAGAGGTGCTGCAGGTAGGCATGAAGCCAAAAGGTATAAGCTAGGAAGGCAGCCTTGCTCATGCTTATCAAGCAAGAGGCTATGCAGGCAGTGTGGAAACGAGTCAAAGATAAACAAGAAGATGGGGTTATATATAAAAAGGTAAAAAGGGGGCTAGCATGATAGAGTGGTAAAAACCAGAACTGTACTCAATAAATACAAAAATTGGGAGAGGATGCAATTCATAGACTATTAAATTCTGCCAGGGGAATGGATGTGCATGTAGTTGGGCATTTCCTCCTGGATTGGAGGTAACCACTGAAACGACTCCTCCACATCTCACTGTGGCTGAGATTCCTATCTGATGTTTCCTTTCTCACCTGTGTACAAATTCTCTCTGCTTGGTGAATGTAATGTATCCTGCTTTTCTCTTTTCTACCAGCTTTACTTCTCTGTCTCCTTCATGAATAACCTTTTCTGTTCCCTCTTTAAAATTTGGAACATTCCCCCTCCACTCTGTACACCCTCCTTAACTCATTTTATTGTACTCATATCTTTACTATTTATTTTTAAAAATATTTTTTAAAATTTATTCATTTGAAAGAGAGACAGAGCCATGTGAGAGCATGAGAACATAAGCAGGGGGAGGAGCAGTGGGAGAGGGAGAAGCAGGCTCCCCGCTGAGCAGGGAGCCTGATGCAGGACTTGATCCCAGGATCCCAGGATCATGACCTGAGCTGAAGGCAGATGCCTAACTGATTGAGCCACCCAGGCACTCCAGTGTCTTTACTATTTATTAAAAGGGAAAGAGGAGTGTTTTACTTTCTGCCAAATACCTTCCTCGTTCCTTCCCCCAGTAAGTCTTGCTGACTTAAATTAAGCCCTGAGAGCTGGGTCAGATGCATAAGTGGCATTTTGTTTCTCATGCTTCACTGTTTGTACCAGTCTCCTAACTAGTCTCAGGCCTCAAGCCTTGCTCTCTACTAATTTAGTCTCTTTGTTGCAGCCAGAACAATCTTTTAAAAATCCACATCCTAGTATGCTGCAAACTTCTCTAAGATCCCCCCAAATTCATCTTCAGTAATTCCTATATAAGGGCCAGAATGCCTAATGCAGGGAACCAGGTGTTTCGTGATCTCACTTCTGTCCATCTCTGTCATTCTCTCCCTTCCCTGGCTTCTTGCCAAGTGTGTAAAACTACATGCAGTTAGTTTCTGGAGCACTCCTTTTTTTTTTTAATTTTTTAATTACAGTAGTCTCCTCACCCAACAAGGAACTCAACTCAGGGCTTGAATTCATGACCCTGAAATCAGGATCTGAGCTGAGATCAAAACTTGGATGCTTAACTGATGAAGCCATCCAGGTGCCTCTTTCTTATTTATTTTTGCATATGCAGGAGACATGCTTTCCATTCACAAATATTTAGTAAGTACCGATTATGGGCTAGCTAACATTCTAGCGGATATAGATAACATCACAACTGAGATGGGAGTTCCAGCCTTTAAGGAGCTTATACTTTGGGATGTATGTGTGTGAGTGCTGGGCAAGAGGAGTGAAGTGACAAAGGATCAGTAAATAAAACCCAATATGGCTATGTGAAGAGTTTCCCAGGCAAAGGAAACAGGTAACACAAAAGTGTAGTGACTTCTGAGGAACCTCAAAGAGGCTGTGTGGGTACAGTGTTGTCAGCAAGAGGGACAACGGTAAGAAAGACCGGAGAGCCAGGAAGGGGCAAATCAGGTAAGGCGTCGTGGTGAGGACTTGAATTTTGTTCTTTCAAACAGATTTATTTGAGACAGAAAAAGTGAGCATGAGCAGGGAGGCAGAGGGAGAAAGAGAATCCCAAGAAGACTCCCCACTGAGCATGGAGCCCGATGCAGGGCTCAATCCTACTACCCTGAGATCACGACCACAGGCAAAATCAAGAGTCAGACACTCAACCAACTGAGCCACTCAGGACTTTATTCTAAGCACAACAGAAGTCAGGGGGATGGCCTGCTTCCTCAGGTCTAGTGGGGCCTGAGTGGAAGCAGGGAGGGGAGAAAGCACTTGGGAGGCTGCTGGAGTTATCTGGGTGAGCAAGGGGGTGGAGGCACAGATGATGCAGCAGGATATCTTATTAAGGAGGTGATGACATGACTGGGCTTGCTAGGTGATAGTGTATGAGGTGCTGAGCAGGAATAAGGCAGTTAGAGGTCACTCCTAGGTTTCCAGCCTGGAAATGACAAATGTTGCACAAGCCACCCAAGGAGGGAAGGCCAGGAAAGGGACAAGTCTGGGGGTGCGCTCTGTTTCCAACATGTTTGCCATGGCTGAGGTGTCATGTCTAGACCCTCAAGGAAGACTCTGAGATAGTCAGTTGTATGTACTTTGGGGATTGGGGATGAGGTTGGAGCTACAGTTAGGTATTTGGGACTCCTTGGTAGGTAAGTTTTATTTAAATCTGAATTACTGGAAACTCAGGCACAGCAACATTAGACGTCAAGTAAAGGAGGAAAATCAGAAGAGTGTGGTGCTCCAGAAGCCAAAGGAAGAAAGTACTGTGGGGAGGAGTGAATGAGCAACTCTGGAAAACAATCTGAAGACTATAACCCTAACCTTGCCTGTGCCGAGGTGGAGACTGTAGGGGATTCAGTGGCCGTGCTTTTTGTGGAATAGTGAGGAAGAAAGCCCCACTGGAGGGCACAGAGGAAGCAAGGGGAGGTGACAAGATGGAAACATCAAAATAGAGAGGCTCTGAAAAAGTTCTGTTTAGAGCTAAAAAGAGAAATGGGACACGGGGAATTTTAATGGAAGCGATTATAGCCACAAGGGTCCCTGTCCACACTGGGAAACTCACCTCAACACTACTTCAAGTGCCTATGCTTTGGCCTGGAATTCGGGTTTCCCACTGCACTGGACACTGTGGAAACCCTAACTGTTCTTTATGATCTGCTTAGTGTTTCTGTGACCCCACAGATGTATGCCCTGAAGCACAGTTTGACTTTTGCTCCATTTCCAGAATCAAGCCTGGGCCTGAGCTACCTCATGGACAAGGTCAGGACTGAGTCAGAAGTCTGAAGACCAGAGTGACCTTGCTCTAACTGTGGCCCTGGCCGGTGCCTGGCATCAGTTCTTGACTCTCCTCCCTTGGCTCTTAGGACGCTCCCTTGAGTCTTTCCCTGGCCTTCTCTCCCCACTCCCATACCTCCTGTGTGAGGGACTATCCTGATTTCTCAAAACTCTTCACACTGTCTGCTAGACTTGCCAACTGAGTATCTTTTTCAGATTTAGGCTGTCCAGCTCTGAAGCTGGTGCATTCCTTTTCAAATCTTTTTTTCCTCTATGTCCCAGTGCAGAATCCTGTCATAAGCTTTTCAGAGACTCTGCCATAAATCGTTTCATCTCAGATTCTTTTCTCCCCTGCATTCCAAGTCTGGTCAGTCAACAAATTTTCTTCAATCTCCTCTCTGAGATCTCTAACAACTGCCATTAAGACATCCAAATTCAGGATCTCCTTACTCCATGGTGACATTGCTACTGACCCTCAGTTTGATCCTTTGACCCTAATTTCTCACCTATCTGGTATTACTTTCCCCTGGATTTATTCCTCTTATTACATGCAACTCCTCTTATAACTTCAAAAAGCATCGTTTGCTCCTTATTTAATTCATTCATCAAACATTTAAACAGCCCCTATATTTGCCAAGCTCTATCCTTCCAAATCCAGTAATGAAAAGAAACAGTTCATATCTTCAAGGAGTTCCCAGCTTGGCATTAGAGACAAGAACAAACAGGCTATCACATCACAATGTGATCATTTCTACAACAAAATCACAAGGTAGAAATGGACATGAACATGAACTCAGGGCACCATCCAAACTACCCTCAGTGGAGGGTGCAAATGGGGAAAGGGTACAGGTGGTGGTGGAGAGTTTTTTTGAAGAAACGACTAAGATGGGATTTTAAAGGATTAGCTGGAGGTTGGATAGGGTGAGGGCTGAAGCAGAA